GTCGCTGGGCGGGGGCCGCCTTCCGCCCCCGGCATCGGGCAAAGTTGCCATCCCCAGGCGGGAAGGAAAAGGCAAAATCCGAACCTGCCTTGAAAACAGGGAAGTAAGCGGAAGCGGATTGCCAGGGAAAGGCCGACACTGAATCCGTTCCAGCAGGCCCCGTCCAAGCGCTAGTTTAATGGCTCTGCCTGTCTCTGGAGAAAAAGCGAAGTAATATCCCTGAGAATTCAATTTCGCTATTTTGGCTTGGTGGAAAAATGCTCGCTGCTATTAGACAATTAAATAGCCCACGCCGAATTGAACTGGAGGTGTCTGGGAAAAGTATCACGGTCTTTCTGGGAAGGTGCAATGCGATAACAGTTCTGGTAGGGTCGCATCAAGCCCTTGTGAAACTCGCTGTAGATAATGAGTTCCCAGGGGACCAGCCCAGAGCTTAACAGAAGAGGAAGACGGAAAGCTCACTAAGATATGCATATAAATAATTCATAGCACAGAGGTATAAATATAAAGGCAGGCACTTAGGGCTGACTTATTTGCCTGGTTGAGCAAATATACGCTATAGGAGTTCATTTACGTTGAGCTGATTTGAAATACTGGTTCACTTACAAGTGTACTCAGGACTGCCCAAACGGAGTGAGAGATGCGTGCCCGTGCATGTGGGTGCGTACGTGTGGCAGCCAGACTTACTACTTTGTGTTCGTGAGCATACAGAAAGGCAACAACGTGCAAAATCGAATACAGGAGACGGGAATTTTGCCAGACAGCTACATGTATCTATTTCTGTGGGATCTCTGTGCCTTTATAAGATCATACACTAGCTTTTGCATTGTACCTCTGAACTGATCAAACTGTGGTGTTTGTGGTGAGAGGGCCAGGAACTCAACAGTGTAAGCTCAGCATGAAGTTTTTTGCCTCATTCTACCTACACAATCTCTACACTGATGGCAAATGCCTGTTTGTTTTTCCTATTTAGACATTGTACTACCTGAAGAAAATTAATGAGGCTTCAGCATGATGGGAAATCGTTAAAGTCAGCAGTTCTGCACCATCTATAACTTTGGTTAAAGACTTTTGAACACTAGATTTTCCTCACTGAATTCCTTAATACTAGTATGTACAGTCCTTGGAGTTCGTTTTCTGTCTTACTCATGTTCTCTTTGGTGAAAGTTTGAAGCTGTAAGTTCCAGTCCTTGCTAAATACATGTTAATTAATGGCGTTTTAGAATTGTTTTGGGCAGAGCTAAAAGACCAGAAGGCCTGTTCAGCTTGAGCAGTATGATAGCAGGAATCTGAGGTGAGTTGCCTGCAGAAACTCAGGCTGCGTGCTACTGACTAATGGTGGCACAAAGAGGAAAGAATCAGGATTTGGTTTGCAATGACCTGTTAGGTTCCCAGACCAGTGTTTTCACCAGTTGCTGGGCCTGGGCGTGCACCATGGCTGTGTAGTGTTAACCCCAGGAGGGCCTTGTGCCACCGTCACAGGTGGGGTGAGACAGATGTTGCTCTAATGCTGACTTAAGCTTCTGTTCACCAAGAAGGAGAGGTCTTTGACTGTACCAGAGCTTGAGCGATATTGCAAGACTCCCAAGTATAGATGCAAACAACATGTAAATGTTAAGTGAACCCTGCAATGCAGTAAATGCTAATATAGATGCATCCCTAAGGTAGAAGCTGGATGATACCATGGTTTAGAGGCTACACACTTTTAAAAATCGTTTTTTTCTGGCAAGAGTCTGTTAAAAGATTTGATTTTCTCTAACTTTTTCCCCATGATGGTCAAGATATCTCTATCCTCAACTGCTTTCTCTATTTATCTGCCAAACGTTTTCTCCTGTGTAGCTGAAGTGGCTAAAGAGAATGTGTGGCTGAGCATTCATTTTGTGCTATTCCAGAACAAAGCCTGGAGTAGGGTTTGGAGCAAGAAAGCAGCATGAGAACAGAGTGGAGATATTTTCTTAGGTGTGTTCCACAATGGAGGTGACCGGTGCCAATAATTGGAGTACAGCAGGGTGCTGTGTTGACATCTTGATCTCTCTCTGCTGTGAGATGAAGCAGAGCTTGTCTCTGAGTGTCACAGTGGTGGTCAGCTTGGCAATGCCCTCCTCTTCCCTACAGCGGTAAGCATACAAGTGCCTCACAATGTTTCATTTCTGTCCATGTGACTTTTGTCTCTAGAGTGTATATTATTCTTGGCAACATCATATGCGGTTTGCAATAGAATGGTTGTCATGTGGACAGCATAGCAACTTATGATGCCTATGTTTGATACCTTTTTAGCAAAAAAATCCCTGTAAATAAAATAAAACATATGGATATTACTCAGCATTATTGCATGGCTTTGGAATCCAAGGCATTTAGGCTGAATATTAAATATGGAGCAGTATACTGCCAAGTATAGGTATACTGGGATTTTAGATCATGAAGGATAAAAAAATCACACTTTTCTCTGGACCCTGATACTTAAGAGTAATGTTCTTTGATATGTTGGGGCAAATTAATGTGGTTTTTTTCTCTGAAACTGATGGAGTGGCAGTCTGGAGGATTACAATGATGCAGGAATAATTGGCATAGAATAACAGGGAAGGGAGCAGTACAGTAATGAACAAATTAGTGAATATATTCTTTGGACGAACTGCATGGATTGTAGATGTAAAACAGAGTCTTGAATGTATTTTAAGACAGCACATTGTTCTGCTGCTATTTCTGTGGGTGTTGATTCAGACATTAAATTTTTGGCATTTTGTTTTTTCAAATGTTTTGAATTTTAATTCAATAATTTCTATCAAATTACCTAAATGCTTTCACTCTAGTCTCTTTTCTCTGAATTTGCATCCCACTTGACAGGAAGATATACTTTGCTTGGAGTCAACCCAGAAACTGAGAAATTTTGGTCCTTGACAAGCGAACAGCAGCACTGCCTGGAATTATAAGGGTCCTCTGCTTCCTTTCACAGAGCAACGCCTCTAATATATTAGTCCTGAAGATATCAGACATAAGGAAGGGTCTAGTAGAAGCAAATTAGCAGAGCTGGTGCTGAGGATGATTGGACACTCACAGACTGCTCTGCAATGGAAACCAAAAAGCAACGAGTGGGAATGATCAGGAAGTCTGTTTCAAAAGTGTACTTTTGGTATGAACTATGTGCACTAATGTCAATTCACTTGTTGTTTTAGAATTACACATTAGTTGTGTGCAGTTATCTGAAAAAGGAAAATAAGAGGAAAAATCTCCTTGCCTAGGAGTAGGGTTGTATTGTTTAGAAAATCAGATTTCAGTTCCAACAGTTGGTGTGCAAGCTCCCTACAGATCAACAGGAAAACTTACTCGTATGATGTCTTCAAATTTGGTTTCCTGTGGTTTCAAGAAGATATGGGAAAGTAGAACAGAGAAAAATCCAGATATACTTTCTAGGAGACCACCCAATCCCAAATCACTTGCTTTTTGGTATGGTTTTTGTTTGGTTGGGTTTTCTCTCTGAAAGACCAAATTGATGTTCTGTGGATATTTGCCATGTATTTACCAAGCTGACCACAGGATAGAGGCTTTAGTGCAAGTTGAAAACTGGAAAAGAGAATCAAAGTACTAAAAAAAAAAAATGACAAAGAAATATATATAAAGTGTTTTTTCCTGGAAAATTCTCTCTGATTTCATC